AGCTTATCATTTTTGTTTCATTAAAAAATTGAATTTTATTTTTTAACTTTCTAAACTAGTTTTAATTCACAATTGTCACTATAATCATAACATTGTTGTATATGTACTTAGTGTACTGGTAACATCATTATTATCAATAATCATCTTTAACTAACAGAAACGAGCAATACGAGTTTTATTTTTTTAATAGAATCAAAAAAGAAAATTAAAAGAGTCGCCCCCATTAATTGAATCAACATCAAAATAAATGGTAAAGCAAAAATTGTAAAATTATTAACGATTGACTCACAAGTAATCATAACAAAAACAACTAAAGCGGAAAATGGAAAAAAAGCAGCCATTTAATTCAGTTTCATTAAATTAAAGAGCACTTTTTAGCCCTTTTTCATCACATTCAGTCATCAATATTATCAATATCAATGTAGTTATTATAATCATCATTATATTTGCCATTTGTTTACTTTCATTATTATTTTATTTATTTATTTTTTGCTAGTGTCGCTGTAGTCGTTATTGTTATTATTTTCAATGCAATTTATTTGCTATTAAAATTTGCGGTTTCGTTCTCTTTTTCTCTATACACTTATGCTTTTTTCAATTACTGCAAAATTATGTTTCTTATATACTGCATTAAAAGCAAGTATGTGCATTTGTGTATAGAAATATGAATGAATGAAAAAAAAACTTATTGCCAGTGATTAATTTAATTATGCAGTTTTTGTTTTTTAAATGATTTTGTAATGCCAATAATGAAAATATTTCATAGCGAAAATTTATAACACATATTACACATACATAGATCTGTAGTTAAACACATAATGTAGAAGTCAGTGAAACAATAATTTTATTGTGAATGCAATATTGTGTTGTCACTATGGTATTGTTCTCACAATTTCAGCATTTCTCAGTTTTTTCTCAGTGCTAATTAGCAAGTAAGAATTTTGGAATGTTGTTTAAAATTACTAAGGTTCCAAAACAAAAATTAAATAAAACGTTTCAATTTCTTTCATTTCACTTGGTAAAGTAGCTAGCAGCATTTCAAGTTATTTCACAAATTTGCCATAAAATGTTGGAGTATTGAAAAATTTTGAAATTTAATGGTACTGAAAACTATAGTGGGTTTAGTTTAATTTGATATTTAAATAAGTATTTAAATAATTTCAATTAATTAAAGTCATTAAAGTTGTTTAAACAAATTTCTTTTTAACTTGCAATTTGTATTGTCCGCGCATACGCTCTTTTCAATGATCAGTTTCAGGAAATAATTTCATTTTATTTTTGATAAAGTAAACAAATCAATTGAATTCTTTTTTTTAAGAAATTACATTTTTTAACAACGCATGGTGGAAGGCGTAAGAAATAAGAAAAATTATTTACTTTTTAATAAAATTAGTACACAATTTGTACTTTATGTATTACAAAATTTTCAGTGATGAACTGATGACACAAATATGCCAATAAACTAAACAAAACCAAAAAAAAAAAATTTAAGCGTATTCAAAAGCGTGTAGCGAACGATAGAAAAAATAAAAAAATTTTTCCCCTCTCATAAACTTACAAGTAGGCATACGAGTACAATATAAAAAGTTTATAAAAAAAAAAAAAACTTTTTTTTAATTTTTTTTTCCTTTTTTATATTAAATGCCCCAGATAATCGAGTGTATATGTGTAAGTAACATTGTTAATGTTATATAAGACAGCGAATACTGAACGATACAAAAGCAGCAGAACCCTTTTGACGTTTTCATACAAATTATTATTTTAGTTTTTTCTTTTATTTTATTTCTCTACAAAAAAAAAAGTCTTTGACCTCACATTATTCAAAAAAAAAAAAAAAATATTAGAAAAATAAAAGTCAATGGAAACTTTTCAAATTCATTCATTCGTTCATCCATTTTTTGAGGAAAGAAAAGGCCAACAAAAAAAAAATATAAGTTAAGTATACTTTTGTATTTGAGACCACTACCGCCAATTATGCTCTTCACTATTACTCCATACAACCATCATATTGCATTGTCATCAAATAATTTACACAAAAATTACAATAATAATACTCGTAATAATGATACGGAAAATGTAATTTACCACTACCATCAACTTTCGGGGCATTTAACTTACAACAAAAACACACAAACAAATAGAAAAAAAAAATAAATTATAACAAATGTAGAAATGTTAACAAAAGAAATTTCATTTACATTTTGTAACAAAAATTGTTCAAATTCTTGTAATTAAATTCCAGAAAGAACAACAAAAAAAAAAAAAAAAACACCGCACTGTATAAAATATGAATTGAATTTCATTTGAAATAAATACACAATCATACCACAATTACACATTGAATACATCCAATATGTACAATCACACAATAGAAGTTAAAACATCAATTTTTGACAGAAATTTATGAATATTGCCAAATAATTTTAAAATTATTTATAGTGATTTTCATTTTATGTCAGAATTACTAAAGGTGAAATAATTGTATAACTATTAATGACAAGGAGTAAGTCGAAAATTTTTCAATTTAACGATATTTATAAAATTTTACCCTAGTTTTCAAATAACTCTGTTATAATATGACATTTAAATAAATTCAATCGAAAATGACCGGCAAAAAAATTTATTCATATATACTCGTACATAAACCATCATTTTTAAAATTTGTGAACAAACAACTTATTTTTATATAATTATTAGATTAACCAGCTCAAATTCATAAAAATTGCAGTTAAAATTATGAAATGCTATTTTAGTAATGCCATCTAACTCAAATAAATAAATTAATGCATTTTCAAATAATTGTCTAAGTCAAAACGAAATTCGATGTAGGCGCTCAAACCGATCATGACATTTTCGCTCTTTTTTTTTTTTGTTTAACGAACAGAGCTATACAATAATGAAAAAAGCAAGTGCAATTTTTATAACAAAAACAAAAAAAAACAAAATATGAAGAATTTCTAATAAAAGCTTCAAATGACAGAGTCAAATTATTTTAATTTTATATTATGTTCAGCCCTTTTTTTCATTTTTGATTTACTATATTGTATTGTAATAATGAAGAACTCATTTAAATTAATGGCTATAAATCACAAAATTTTGTAATAAAATATAATGAAAACTATTTGACCTCTTGTACTCAAAATGCCATACAAAATGTATATGTATGAATGAAACAGTATTAAATAATGAGAAATTTATAGAGTCATAAATGAATTAAATATAATTATGATTTGTTTTATTATTTTTTAACAAATTGTTAATTTTTTTATTTAATTATATTTTATTTTATTTTTTAATAAAATTTATGATTATTTAATTTTAACAGTTCACAATAATAAAAATTGAATTTATCGAATTTCAATCGAAATTCATCTGAGAATATAATATTATTTAAATTATAGCAAGTAGTATAAAAGAATCTCCGTCATATAATCTACAAGTCTATAGGAGCCTATAGGAGCAATTATGCTAATTCAAATCCATATAACTGCAGAAATCTTGTATTTCACAAGATAGTCTCAGATACTTGATTCTGGTGTTCCCTTTGCCTTGTGACAAGATGTATTACATGACAACGGTTGAATGCGGATGTAGTGACAAAAGCAATGACTCTGTTGAAATTTATGATTTTAGTTTTTTTTTTAATTTTCAATACAATGTGCTTTAAATTTTGACATTATCTTTATAATAAACACGAACAGTAAATCATTTTATTCGATTTACTGTCAAATTATGTTGAGCTAATTGATAAGTGACTTTATTCAAAAAATTTTTTAACAATTTTGACATCAAATTATAAAAAAAAGTTTAAATTGCAAAATTTATTAAAGGAAATATAAAATAATAAAAGGTAGTAAGAAGAGAAAATCCAGAGAAAATAATTAAAAAAATCTAGTATTTTTATGTAAAAAAAAAATTTAACAGAAATTTTAGTAATTAAATAAAAAAATAATTGAAAAATGTATCGAATAATGAGAATGACAGTTAAAACGAGAAAAAAGAGTGAGTAATATGATGCTCATATTTTTTTTCTGTCAGAATGTATGTGTTCTCCATAAAATGTCACGAATGTTTATTTAATGGTTTTGTAAGGAAACTGATAATGAAAATAATTTTCTTCTTTTGTTCTTTGCAAAAAAAATTATATGTTGAAATATAAAACTTTCGAAAAGCTTTCAACAAAAAAAATTTAATAAAACAAAATTGTATAATAAAAAAAAATATTATAAATTCAAAATTAAATGATTTGGATTAAATTTGAAATGGATCAATAGTTCTTAAATACCTTTTAATACTTAAAACCTACTAAGAATTTAAGGATAAGGTACATCTTCGCTCGGCCGAAAATGTTTTGATACGTTTTTAGATTGACATGGCAGTAGTTCTTAAACTTGGCGAAATATGGTTAACAATAATACATAATTACCCGTCATACTTTCATCAAATATACAATTATAAAAAAATATATTTAAGTCCTACATAAAAAGTAATAATTTGATATTTGAATGAAATTTCTCGAAAGAACTGTGTCTTAGGTGTTTATATCTCTTTACCATTTCTACTTCTACTATATCCAACATTTAATAAACAAAATTTATCGCCAAAAACAAGGTAATAATTTATAAAAAAAACTTATTAATTGAGACCCTGTGATAGCGGGACAACATTCGAAATTCATGCTCGTACCCTCCAATTTTGAATTCTTATTCATCAGTTCATCTATTTCATTTTATAAAACTATTTAATTTATAAAATTATGTTAAGGTTTTCAAAATCTTCAAACAAGTAAAAACATCAAGAGGAAAGTATTTTTTTTAATTATTCAAGTTACTTAAGAGTTTTCAATTTAAATTTTAACCCAAATCATTATCTAAATTCGAAATATATTGTACATATATGTATATATACGTATTATAAATAAAAAAAAATAAAAAAAAAAAAATAAATAAAACTTAATTAAAAGATAAATAAACAAATTGAAATAAATTTTAAACGCTTACCTTAAATCTAAGAACATCTTCCATACGCGCTGTTTTTCCATCACTAACACATGACTGAAAAAAACTAGGTGCAACTGAAACGCCCAGCGCTTCACTACTCATACCAGTACCAGCTCTATCAGCATTACTAGCAATTACACGGAATGTACCAAATAATAGCACCAATAAACGTTGTGTATAAATTGGCAGTGATGTTATAAGTCTAAAATTAAAGATTAAAAAAAAATTAAATTAAATTAAGTAATAAAGTGTGAAAATAATTTAGAGAAAATTTAATTAAATTTTCAATTTAATTTATTTAATTACAATGATTTTGAAAGTAAATTTTAATAAATTTTAATAATTGTTTTTAAAATACTTTAAAAATTTAATTCACGTAACGTAGCACTTAAAAATAATTCTGTGATTACAACCAACAGTTGTAAAAGTTTTTAGCTCTTCATTAAAGAGAAAGCAATAATTGATTCGAAAATTAAACGTTTTCTTCAAATTTACTTTACTAAGACCCCTCGACGCTCAGCTATACCGACAAGGAGTCTATATTACAAAGACAAATTTTTGGGGTCGTTGAGTAAAATGAAATTTTACTTTACTCATTGTTTAAAATTTAACGAACGGAATTTATTGGAACTAATACTCGTACACATTTAATTGTCAACCTGTTTGTCAGTTTTTAAATAGTCAAAAACAGAGATGATCTTTTGTATAAACAAATGCATCAAATGAATATATTTGAAATAAATGAATGTATTAATGAGTTTTTAATATGTATATTTGCAAATTAATAAAAAATAAGTTGTTGAAACGGCTTTATGCTCTGTGCTACGAATTATTGTTATTAGCAAAGCAATTAGCCATATTTTGGAATCACTGTTCACCAAGAAATTGTAAACAACCATTATTTTAAAAATATCTTAGCTGCATCAAATATCAAGTAAATAAATATTTAAGTCTCAGTTTATTTTAAACAGATCGTTAAATTTTGTCATTCCCATTGAGCACTCTTTCACCGACATCAGCTGATTACGTTGTAGTTGTCCTTCTCATTGAGCGTCGGGAGTAATGAAAAAAATAAAATTACAATATTTTGTTTTTCAAATGATATTTTTTTAATAATTTAAAATGGTAACTGATATCATTCAGTTACTTGTAATCGCTTAATTTGGGTGGTCATTTTAATAAAATCATCAAAATTTCATTTTTAAAACAAAAAAATATGTAAGTAAATGAAAACGCTACCAATATTTCATTTTATCTACTATCAATAAAAAAAAATTGAAATCAGAAGTTTAAAATAACAAAAGAGATTCATTTGATCTAAACAAATATTTGGCCAGTCAAAATTGAAATCAGAAGTTTAAAATAACAAAAGAGATTCATTTGATCTAAACAAATATTTGGCCAGTCGGTTTCTTTTACTTACTTTGTTTTATTGCGGTGTCGCGGCTTTGTAATCAGAAAAGCAAAAACAAACAGAAATAATAATGATTGTAATTGCAAGAAATACAATGAATCACTCTTAAAAGTATCAAAATAATTAAATTAGTCTCGTTTATTAGAAATTAAAAAAATAACAATAGCGAATTAAAGACAATGCATGTATGATACAAAGAAGACAATTTCACAAAATTTTATTTAACTATCTCACAAAGTGTTTTCACGAATTCATATATGTCTGTATTGGAATATAGGGAAGACCGGAAATTGTGTCAAAATATTAATTGAATAATTTTTATAATACCTCTTTCGGAAACTGGATCTCAACATTCCTAAAAATGAATTCAATAAAATGGAATGACTAATATCAATAATATACTCAGAGTATTTGCGTATATTAACTAAATTACTCATCACTACTTGGAATATTAATAAGGAACAAATGCGAACAATTTACTAGACTGAAAAAAAGTGTAAATTAAAGAAAGTGAATTTTTCTACAAATTGATTTTAATAGCTAACCTTACAGACTGACATAACGCCATTTACTCGAGTTGCAATAGTACTTACGTTATATGTCCAAATTTTCATATTTCGTTTAGCGGTTCTTATTTTCTGTAACGCACCGCTCTTGAGTCTATGAGATGAAGTGAAAAATTTGATAATTTGTTTGCGATAAGTGAATGTTCCCCAATTACGAAAATTTTACTTAGTAAATTTAATATTTTAATACTATCCTTCTGTTATAGGACTGAAAGCATTAAATAAGCATCGTTCGCGAATTAAAGACTAGTGACGAATTAATGAATTATTTTGAAATTTTTTTTGTATTTTAATAGTGAAACAAGCGACAAGAAAATAAAAAAAAAAAACAAAAATAAAAGAATAACAAATCATACTTAAAATGACTGTATACATATATTTTTTGACTCTTGAGTCACTCACTACTTACAATAAATTGCAAACTTTCAATTGAATAGAAAACAAAAAAAAATAAGTACAAAAATTAAATCTGAGACGCCTAATAATTTAACAATTTAACTGCTATATGTATAAAAAAAAAAGTTTAAATCAATGTCAAAATAAATAAATCTATCAAATAAAAAATGAATCATTCTGCATAAATTCTCTACTCTGCTCACTGCCTTACTTTACTGCTGTTTTGCTGTTATTGTTGCTGTAAATGTATTTGACGCCGGAATCAAATTTAATTTTGCTGCTAGGTTTTTTTTATTGTTTTTGTTTTGACTTTGCCTTTCTCATAAATTTTGAAAGGTTTTTGTTTTATTTATAACTTTTTTTTTTGTTTTTGATAGTAAATTACAAACAAATGAAAATATAAAATTGAAAGGGTATTTTTATAATTTGAAAACAAAAACAAAAGATAAAGAAAAACTTGTTGGCGTTTTTCAGCTACTTGTATTTAATTTGTAATTATTTATTATTGTGCCGTAAGAGTTTCACCTAGTTTTGAAATATAATAATGGTTAAAGGAAATATAAAACATTAAGCATAGACATAAATATACGTAAATAGATGTAATTGATATCTATGCGCATATACATATGTACAAATATACACATATATTTTTACATATATGTACATACATAGTTATATTTACACCCACTAACTTTGCAAATCTCATGTGGCATTTGACGTTTTGAATACGAAAAAATTCTGGTCATAAGACATTGTTTTTTTTTTGTTATAGATCGCAACTTGAAAGAAAATGAAAGCGTTATGAAAAAGATGGAAATTTCGAATTCAATTAGAATAAAACAATTAAGTACCTATGTACATACATATGTACCTTAGACTAAAATAATATGTAGAAGTTTAGAGATCAAATTGTTAATTATAGAAATAACTGTACTTTATTTCTTTATTTTGGTTACAAACCAAATACTTTATATGAACTTGAAATAAGAAACAGCTGTTTACATAAGAGTAGAAAATATTCCCCGTAAATTTAGTTGTAAAATTCAAAACCACATAATTTAATTTAATTGTTAACGCCACTCGCCAATGAGTACGATTAAATGAATAAGTTTTGAAAAAAAAAAACTATGAACACTTGCAATATGTCATAATAAAATATTCTGACGCTTACTATTTCTACGTTTGTTTTTTTAATTATTACACATTTTATATTCAATTCTTGAATCTATGTGTAAGGAGGAAAAAAAATAAAAATTAATAAAAAATTAAATAAAAAAACAAAACCTCAAAAATTTATTTACCGCGCCACTATAAAGCGGTAAATTAACAGCCAAATTGTTCGAAAATACACACAAAATAAAAAACCACCTCATTCATACACATAGTAAATAGAAAAAAAACATAAAACCAACCCTTTTTATGACCTTCTCTAGTTCTGTATATTATGCGGTAAGTATAAAAAATGAAAAATTACAAGTGTCATTTAATGACTAAATTATGTAAAGAAAAAACGAAAAGTAAATAAAATAGATCAAAATAATATTAGTATTTCAATGAAATTCTATTCAGTGTTTAAGAGCATATTGGTTTTTGGGCAGATTTTTGTTATCTCAAATAATGAAAACTTATGAATTGTTTACATCATCTTTATTAAGAATTAAATTACAATATTTAAGTTAAAAGTTATTAAAAATTAAAGTGAGCACATCATAATCGAAATTTTGATTAAGACAAGTTTAAAGAGACTGTTAATAAGTTCATTGGAATAAGCCATTTAACAGTATTTAGTCATATATTTTTTAAAGAAGATTCACAAACAAGTAACCTTAATTCCATATTTTAACATTATTACAGAATAGAAGATGGCTGCTTTATATGACCTCGTTAACGCGATCATAAGTAATTAACAAGAAATACCAAAGACACAAACCAAATATTTTAAAAATATGTAACTCCGAAAGGATGTCGGAATAACTTTAGTCAAAATTGTTTCTTTAACAAAGCTCAATGGTTATTAATGTCGTATTTTGACATTTAAATTCATGCACATGTTCTTTGTTTTTCCGTTTTCTAATAATTTTGTTATTATCGTATACGTTTTTTGCGTTTGCCTAATCATAACTCGATTACAAAAATTACGTTTTACTTTTGTTCTTTCTTTACCATTACGAATTTTTAAAATTTTGTTTTTTTTTGTATTAATTATTTATTTTGTATACAAAAATAAAAATTTCATGTCAAGGGTACAAAAGAGAAAAAAAACTCAGAGAAAATAAAGGACTGTAGGTGGGTAATGTTATGTTAATGTTAACCACCTTTTTATGGTTCGAAATATTTAGAGAAATAATAATAAAAACTATTTCCTCCCTTATTTATTATTTAACCATGAGAACATTTTTTTTTTGTTTTTGTATTCTTTTCCTTTTTAGCATTGACTCTAGATTAAAATTACTCACAAATGTAAACATTATAATTTAATAAATTAATAATTGTATAAGTTGTTAATAAAACAAAGTCTAATGGTGAAAACAGGAAGAAATATGGAAAATAGCAGCTGTCAAATGTGAAATTTAATGTTTATTGCACTGTAAAATGTGATGGAATTTGTGCATGTCCTTTAGGAAGTTATATACTCGCAATTAGTTTAATTTATCTGATACCATTAAAATGCACTACACAAAATAACATTGAAAGTAAAAAAGGGTCGGAGTTCTTTAGAGCTTACCTACTAATATAAATAAAATTTTTCTTAAAAAAACTGCAATAAATTTATAATTATGTTAGAAATTCGCTCAATGTTATAGGAATTTATAACAAAAACATTGT